TCTTTTCAAAGTGGGGACTATTGTGAAGCTGATGATTATGATGCAAATTCGGTCTTTTCATTTCTGGGCTACACACAAAGACCAATTACCATATACACAAGAGCCAGGGTCTGCATTCTTTCACCGTGTTCGCTCGAGCGTGGGCCAAGAATAATAGCTGAAAAGCCGGCTGAAGATCTCAATTTTTACAGCGTGTTTTTACGCATTCCGGCGTGATGGGGTTAAAAGTGGTTTTGTTATATTTTAGAGACTCTAATCTAGATAGTTCTAACTTAGAGCTAAACCTTTGGCATGCTTATCAGAGATAAGAATTAAATTGAAAATCTTTGGGTATCTTGGCATTTCTTTAAAGTGTCAATTTGTTCGTGTTTGTCATTTTTTACATGATTTTAACGAAGACCTAATAGTGAACGTTACATTGTAATTCCCAGAGAGTTAGGCCTGCCTTTGCCATTAAAATCTCACAAACTGCCCAGATATGGATGGAGAGCAGCGCCGAAGACGCAAGCACGGGATGCTGAAGATGTACTATGGACTGGACGATGAGACCGGGAAGGAGGCCACCACAGACCCCATCGACATTGATGGGGCGCACTTTGACCCCGATGTTTACCTGGCCCGACTCATGAGAGAGAAAAGGTTGACAGAGTTGGTGGACCGGGAGGTAGACATGGTCAAACGTAAGACGTATTTCTCATTTCCCCTTTCAAGATGCTCTCGTTGAACTCTACTGCACTGGTAGGCACTAACCTCAGGTCAAAGCAGCACACCCCATCACTTATTAATCAAGGACAAGAGAGCACAACCGTTCCGTGTACCCTCTCCTGGGATTTTTAGGGCAGCTGAGTTTCCACTGCAACAGCGCTCGTGGCGCCGGATGTTTGAAAACAACTAAACCACGTAAATCAAACCCATGGCATAGTATCTAAAAATGCTGTTTGCTTTTAACTGTTAATTACACTGTTCGCTGGGTTTTCCAGCAATCAAAGTGTGCTTATGTATGTGCTGAAATGTAAAATATGGGCCATTACTATTGACACAAAGTGCACATCATCAAAGGCGTGGTCTTTTTTGATTCCCACAGACAGCAATTTCTCACCTTTTGGCAGAACAATGGTCAGCTTACTCATGCCGGGCATTTGCTTTTTCCAAGCTACATTACACAACACAGACGGCCAAGAAAATTGAGTTTGATTTTTCTGGCCATTCTCTGAAGGAACACCCTCCCCCTCTTAGCAACCTGAAATGAAGTACTTGGAAATTGAAGTACCTTATTTTTCCTGTGACATTCACATGTGATATCAGTTTATAACCTCCTTTTTTCCTTTTGCAGAAATCCGTTCCTTGGACAGCGACATGCAGACGCTTGTCTATGAGAACTACAACAAGTTCATCAGTGCGACAGACACGATAAGGAAGGTATGCACGCCCAACCTCTGATAGTATTTATTTCTGTTCATCCCGCAGCAAGTGTCAATTACAGGATGTCTTTAAATGGCATAATATTTCAGGGAAGCCCTTGAAATCAGGATGTAAGAACTGAAAACCCAATCCTCCTATCAACCTGGGCAGGATTCGAACCCGGGTCACAGAGGTGGAAGGCGAGGAAGGAACCACTACCCCAAGCCTGAGTTAACCTCGGTCTTCTCATAAGAGGTTTATTACTGCCTCGCGCACGCACACGCATCACCTGTTACCAGTGCCCATTGGCTGACATGCAGACTTTGTTCTACTTGTCGATTGGAATTTGACACTGCATGAGTGATGTGGTTTAGGTTGCGACAACATTCTGTGGAAATTGGTCCAACCGTTACTGATCTATTATCCACTTTTCACAAACTTAGGGTGTCGTCGCCCATCGGAAAACTCAAATCTGTTGTGTTTATTTTTTTTTAATCCCAGATGAAAACCGACTTCCGAAAGATGGAGGAAGAGATGGATCGTCTAGCAACCAACATGGACGCCATCACCGATTTCAGCGCCAAGATCAGCGGTACCCTGCAGGACAGACGAGAGCAGATCACCAAGCTGAGCAGCGTGCACATGCTGCTGAAGAAGGTATGACAAGAAGACTGTGCCTCAGGTGTTGGGACCGGCCAAGGGCAGCAGAGGCTGTTGCGCGGCAAATGCTCGTGCCCAGTATGAAGATAAACATTGAAATAAGTACCCATCACGTGTAGCCCTGCATACTTGTCTGGTTCCTTTACTGAAAGATTCTAACTTTTTCGTCTGTAGCCACCATAGTCACGTGACCGAAACCAGGTGGAATCTCTCCTGTTTTGGAAAATTTCAGGAGCTGTCGCAAATTTTCTGAACTCATCTCTGTCGAACAGCAAAACACTGCTGAGCTGAGTTTTGTATTAAGCTTAGAGAATCAATTAGCCAAGAACCGGTCCACTGCAGTAGAGGTTACAGTTTGGCAACCTGTGTTTGCTAAGCAAATATCTTATATGCTCAGCTGCTCCTTTATCTCAGCCGCAGTAATTCAAAGACACTTTGATCAACTATAATGCAGCTTTGACAATCTTAGGCATTCCATTGCATTTTACGTCAGTTAGTTCAGTTGGGGTCCGCTGAATGCCAGTGACGGAATGCTCTCGGGATTTCTAACACTGTCTTGTTTTCAACCATGTGTTTCCACCAGCTTCAGTTCTTGTTTGAGCTTCCAGCCAGACTAAAGAAGTGCATCGAGATGAAGGCCTACAGCCAGGCAGTCAGGTGAGATAATGGTCGTTTTCAATGCCTCCAAGTTTCCCACGTCATGCAGACAAATTAAATCCTTCACCTATTTAGCATGCAATCAATTTATTGTTGCGATTGCCCCGCCAGGTACTACGTAAAAGCCCGAGCTGTGTTGCTTCAGTACCAGCACATGACTTCGTTCCACGGCATCCAGCAAGACTGCAACGAGATTGTTAACGAACTCCGAGCGATACTGCGGGAACAGTTCACCAACAAAGAGGTACAGTTGGGCACAGAAACATCTGGAAACATTTGATATTGAGACCTCTGCGCGCCGCTGAAAATGCTTCGTCCATCCAATGTCACTGAGTTTTGCCATTGCCCGGCGTACACGTAGTAACTGGCTTTGTTGAGATGTGGTTCGAGTCTTCTTGAAGAATCTGTGTCTCTGAAAACCTCCAGTGTAGTTTCTTTCAGAGGTCTGGAGTTCATCTTTGTTGGGGTTCTACTCTGTAGAAGATTTCAGAGAAATTTGGCAGGTTTCTGTGAACAAAAAGTGCCTCAGGGGAATGTGAAGAGATCTGTTTCAGTTAGTCTCTGGTGTTTTGTATTTTCGATGCAGTCGAGTGCCAAGCAGTTAGCAGAGAGCGTGGACCTGTTGCTGCAGTTGAAAGAGCCGCCGGACGAACTCTGCGATGAATTCCTCTCACAGTAAGCTGACAATCCAGGGTTTGTGGATGGTTGAAGCTGAGAACTACAGGGAGATAACTTTTCTTAACAAACATCAGTTTATACTGCGATGAAGTGTCTTACTGAGATGGTACTCGGAGGGATTGGTCGAAATAGAGAGTAGAAATGGCTTAATGATTATTTATATGAGACTTGTAATGTCGTAGATGTTACTGTTGTTTGTTGGTTTTGTTTGTTCATTTGCTTTAACGAGGGCCGATGAAAATCTCTAATGACTTCTTTTTTATGACGTGATGTCTTAAGTTATTACAGGCGTAAGATTTCGGTGTACTCGTTGTCTTCTGAACCTGTACAGCGCCAAGGAGAAACTGGACGAAGACTTGGCTGAAATTGCCTCCCAGGTGGATCCAGCCCAGGTTGGCGCCCAGCAGCCTGAAAGCTCAGCTGAGGTGGAGGGAACCGAGGAGACGAGACCGGCAGAAAAGCTCCTGCGGAGCATCCCCATGGTGGGTAGAAATGATTCCCTTTTGTCCGTGGACACCTCGTAAATTGTCGATGCTAGCCACTTAGAAACGCTCTCATTTGATTGGATCTCTCCACCCACCCACCCCCCCTTCTCCTCAGGACGTCTTGGAGTTCATCGACAGCAGCTGCAACAGCTTCCTCAGTAACATCAGTCTCCTGATTGCCTCGTACAAGGAGCTGTTCGTTGACAGGCAGGCCTCAGAGTAAGCACACCCTGAACGTTCTCTCTCACAGAATCGTAAATCACCTGATCTGTTTAACTAAAAAAAAAAACGAGCAACTAAAAAAGTGTTATGCCAGGTTTTTGTCTGACAAGCAGTCTTAGGCTCAGAGTGGAAATTTTTGAAAGAGGTTATGTAGATTGTCCGATGTCAATTAGGTTTTGTTTTCAGAGCTACCTGGTTAGCCAGTACCCAGCTAACTCAACAACTTTGACAGTACTTGAATAGCGGCACATTTCTGTTTTATATTTGCATAATTAGCAGTAAAGGACACACTTTGTAACTGTCTGGTACCAAGGCTTCCAGTGCACTGTGTACCATAACAAAACCTATTGCTGATTTCCATTGCCTTTTGTTGGATTTCATATGGAAGCATTTCAGCTTTGTTCCTTTTTGCTGCCGTTAGTTTGGTACTTACAGAAATACTTAATTAGTTTGGTGTTGAGGAGAGTCTGGTGTCATGACTGACGGAAAGCATGGGGTTCGTGAAGAGCTTGAATAAACTAAATGTTCTTCCAAACTTACAATCGGGCCAGACCAGTCACTGCAGGCCCCCCCCCCAAAAAAACCCAATGCAGCTCTCTTTCCCTGTTGAATTCTTAGCAAACGTAAGTTGACTCATCAATTGTGATTTTACGGTCACAGTTCCCAGGAGCAAGAGAAGCTAGTGGAGGTGGCCCATGCCAAGCTGGCCGAGTTTGTCAACTCACACATGCAGCAGTACTTTGCCCACGTTGATGAGAGGATCAAGACCGAGGTATGTCAGTGCACTTGCTTGGCTGATGGAGAATCCGACCCAAACTACCCTGAAATGGGCCAAAATGGAGCACCGGGATTCTAAATTGGATTTGTCGGTCAGTTCTTGGTTACAGAATGTAATTTTGGCCCACGGTTTCAGTGAAATTCAGAAAAACTGAGGTGAGGGTTTTGTCATTTCACTGATAACTTGAAGGAGGTACTCTATGTGGAGTTGGTTGTCATACAAGTGAAAGTGAGGGTTCCATGATTTCTGTTAACTTTTTGAAAGCTTGCTGAATTCTTGCTCAAGCCCGCAACCTTGTACCCGATAGCTTTACAGAGATAGCAGCTGTACAAGACAGTCAGCCCACTCGAAAGACGGCAACTTACCGATTTCAGAATCAGTGAGTCTCATTTGTCTCCACCCTTTTTCTGCTCAGAAAAGCACAGTGGAGAACTCCCTGCTGGTCCGTGCCCTCGACCGCTTCTACCGACGGCTGCTGGCTACCGACCGCCTCGTCCCCCAGCTCAAGATCATCGAGCGTGCCTCGGCAATCATTGCTCAGTGCGGCCACGAGAGGGCACTCTTCTACTTTGATGGCCTCAAGCGTCATTTTTCAGGTAAGAGGCCGACTGTTACAGTGGTAGACATGAACAAGTCATTTAATTTCTTTAAAGGGTTTTTGACAGTTTTTCAATTCGTTGTTTTTAAAAAATCTCAGAGTGTATGACCGACATACGGCAAACCCTTTGTGCACCGAGGATTGCAGGCAAGAAGGATAAACCAGACATGGTGGACCTACTCAACACAACATCCACATCAGTTGTAGAACAACTCAAAGCCATTCTGACTAACCTCAAGGTAACAGTCAGTTGGGATTTTTTTTAGGGGGGGCGGCTGTCATCTTTGCAACCAATGCAAGTGAAATATTTATTACAAATGTTGATCTGTAACTGAAATGTTTAGCTTCATGTCATATTTTCAAGCCATTTGTTCTGTTGACTTTTAATTTCAAGTAATTGAAATATTTTGCTGCATCGGAATCACTTGGTCATTGCTGTTAAGGTCTGTTCTGTTGAAGCAGCCACATATTATTCTTATAAAAACTGTATAGTCTTACTGTAAGTTGTAATTGAGTTGTGTATACTTAGTCACATGATACTGGAATTTGACCTTTGACCCCTGAAAGAATCTATTTGAGATCTGTTGGGGAAAATGTACGTAATTGAAATAATCATTTTGAAGTAATAAGCTCAACTTGTCATGTGAGTAACATATGATCAACTAACCATGCCTGCTGTTACACAGCAGTGCCTTTGGTAAACTTACGTCATGACTTGCCTATGCAATATGATGCATTGAAATGCCGAAAGAGGATCTTTATCTTTGAGTCAAGCGTCTATTGCTCCTCAAGTTATTTTTAATAGGGGATCTTTTTTTTCCCTCCTGGTTCCGATGTCCTAGGCTTTCATAGCCAGCGACATCACTTTCTCCCAGACGCCGTACTTCCGGAGTCTGTTCTGTCAAGACGACATCAGGGAGGGGCTCCTCGTGGCCTTCTTCAGGCACATGTGCGCAGCGTCCCGCGTGAGTACAACTAGGCTTGCATCAAAGCAGTGTGTCTTTGCAGAGATACCAAGTTTGAAGTAGGGAAGAGAGTTCTGAGGAGTGAATGGTTCCAGACTGTGACATCCTGTCCGAGTTGAACCCCAGTTGAGTGAAGACATCAGTGACACGAAATGTAACCCTCGTAAGAATTCAGTTGGAAGTTGAGTTTGAAACTCATTCGGTAGAACCAGCCACAGCAACAGCTTATCTGAGCCCATTTTTACTGTGTGATTAATAACATATTACTGCAAGTAATTCGGATAAGATTGAGATGCTTTTCCACATTCTGGCACTGTTTTCCAGGACCTCTGTGACGGTGTTGGCGAGAAGGGATCGTCCACCGCTCCGGCTCTCGTACTGGTCCTGTCCAGACTCTTGCTAGACTTTGAATCGACCACCATCAGTCAGCTGGTGAGTTGGCCAAGCCTTTTTTTTGTGACTGCGACATTCTTAAAAAAAAAAAGGTGGTTCTGTAATTACCGCTCGACCACAAGTCTTACTGGTGTTGGAGGAAGGCTCGTGTACAGTTAGTGATCTGTTCCACATGAAATCTTTCACGAGGCTGGTAGTTTGAACCCAACCTTAGTAAACTTGTGAATTCAAGTCACGAGATCTTGTTGAAAGTACTTTTAAACATTTCACTTGTAATTTCTAGAATCTTGTGACAAAGGTTACTTCAAGGTACAATACCGCATCGAAAAGTAACGGCTAGGGGCTAACATGCCACTACTTTGGATAGATCCGAACGTTAACCCGTCTAGTATAAATATTCAGCTATTTTGTTCCCTTTGCAGTTGGTGCTATGCGACGAGCTGTTCCCCGTCGACAACCGACGGGGCCTGACGCAGACATCCGTGCTGTGCGCCGAAGCGCAGAGCGCCGCGCAGACTCTCCTGAACCATTACGTCAAAGTTCAGGGGTTGCAAATATCCCAGGTTGGTTAGACCTCTCAAAACTGTTCCTTGACAACAACCAGGCTCCCGCTCCCCCCCCCAAAAAAAATGACGATCCCTTCTGGATTTACGTGAATGGTGCTCAAACGGTTTCCATCTGAGTGGGGCTGTCTCACATAAGGTTGCATTCACATCAGCTTATTTTAGTCACAAATTCTTTCAGTTTTGTGCTCATCAATTTTTTCTTCATCAAATATTCAAATTTGTTATCCCATGTGGGACATTCCTCCTGGTCTTTGATATTGGACACGTAAAGCAGTATTTACAAAATAAATGTTCGCATTTGTATCTTTAGACGGTTTTCTGGCTCATTCCACTGTTTGGTTCCGAGTAGTACCATAGAGAAAATAAATGATTACTTACTTCGGCATTTTTGATTGTTGAAATGGGATCTAGATCAAAATTTGGGTCACCCTCTTTTTTGGTTTGTTTCTTTGCTTTGCACAGATGCTGAGAAAGAGCGTGGAGACGCGGGACTGGCTGAACACCATAGAGCCCCGCACCGTGCGCGCCGTCATGAAGCGCGTCGTGGAGGATGTCACTACTATCGACAGCCAAGTGGGGGCACTGTACGAGGAAGGGGTCCGCAAAGCGCACAGCAGCGACTCCAGCCGTCGGGCGCTGAGCTACAGCGTGTCGCGGCAGCAGCAGCAACAACAGCGCATGCAGCGGAGCTACGCGTCCAGGTGCGTTTTGCAAATTGTGGCTTCGCCTTTGACTTCAGCTCTGGGCTTTGTCAACGAATTTAGTTGGAATTTTCTTTCTATTGTTTCTGACATTTCATTTGCATACCTGAGTCATGTTTTCTGATAATGACCATCTGACGATGTGCCATTGCTTGTGTTGGCTAGAATAGGCACATTGGATCAGCAGTATTTTAATAGGATTTTTACAAGTGCATAACCAATTATTCACTGGTTTCTTGCGGAAGTTAAACAAGGTTTACCCCGTACTTAAGTGGCTTTGATGTGGAGCCAGAAAATAACAGTTGTCTAGTTGAATGCCGAAAGAAATTTGGGTCAGTTCCAAGGGGTCAGGCTTGTTCTTAAAGTTGACTTTTGACTAAACTCGTTTTAAATTGAAAAATAAAACATCAATATTTGCAGTAGCAACTTTGATACCAGTTTGATGAGCAACATTCAGAAGCTGTTCTCGGAGCGCATCGAGATCTTCAGCAGCGTGGAGTTCTCCAAGGTGTCCATCCTGACCGGCATCGTCAAGATCAGCCTCAAGGTAGGGTAAATGCATCCACTTGGCTTAGAGACCTTCCCACTGACAAACGTCTCCCAGTGCCAGCAGCCAAAGATATTGACAGGGCATTTCATTCATAGACGCCCCGTTGATGTTTCCTCTATCCCAGACCTTTCTGGAGTGTGTGAGACTGCGAACGTTTGGCCGTTACGGTCTCCAGCAGATCCAGGTGGACACCCACTACCTTAACCTGTACCTCTGGCGCTTCGTGTCCGACGAAAAGTGAGTGAGACTTCACAGTGGCATTCATAAAGATCTTCTGACGATGATCTTAAGGCTTCAAATCTCTGGGCTGTAATTGACGTCAAATTTGGTGTTGCGTATAATTCGAATCAGACGGACTCCATGTGGAGCTTACACTTGAGAAAAATACACACTTCGAACTCTGAATAGACAATAGTGCTTCTACTCAGCAGAATCAACGATCAGGCAATATTGCTCACCAAGATTTTAACGATGTGCCTCACTTTTCTGTCTGTGAATAATTGTTGCCTTGCCAAATTTTTAAGTCTTTCGTTCCTCATTCACTTCGATGTGTTTCGGTTATTAATGTCAGGACAGCCAGAAAGCAGCATAATATAAGAACTCAAGTTGCATAGAAGTACGTCGTCATCTTAAGCTTATGTTCCTTCAGATTGGTTCACTTCTTGCTGGACGAGGTCGTCGGGAGTGCTCTGCATCGATGCCTAGATCCCATTCTAATGGAACCAAGTGTAAGTACTAAACAAACAACTGCAGTTCTAAAGTGTGTGAGCGGATCCCACAAAATGAGTCTTAGGGCCATTTTTTTCAATAAGTTTGTTATGAGTTTTGGACTGCATGATTGTGAAAAGTTTCGAGGGTTCAGTATGCAAGACCCATCCAGAGATGTGAAATTCCAAACGTGACTCTGGTGAGTTGTTGCTTATTTTTGGTCGCAAATCCAGCTTTTTAACCCTTTAACTCCCTGACCATTTTTTTCTCATGGAAATTTCTCAAGTCCGCTGCTGCTGTGCAGTGACCCGAAGGCTCATGCCGTGCATTCCAACCAAAATGTGGACACTTAGCCACTAGGCTGTCAGTGGTTGAGCGCTACCTTCCCAAATCCTTTAAAGTGCTGTGCGTCCTTGGGAGAGATACGAGGGGATAACCTGTGCTTTTAGTTTTAAAAAGACTGTCCCATCAGAAGAAGAGATAGGGACACAGTAGCCTCGTTAAGTCTGCTGGCATTTGATTCAAGATTCTCTCAAAATTGGCCATGTCCAAACAGGTTTCTAGAGCTGTGGATGAATCTGTTGTCTGCGTGTCTCTGTAATGGAGCGAAAATCTAGTCCTAGCTCTAGGCAATACATGTAAATTGGGAGCCAGCCGTAGTCAGAATCATTGGGTCAGGAAACCATTCCAGGCTGTGGCTAAATGTCACAAGGGGCTCCAATGGAAAATGCTACTTTGTGTCAGCAGCCAGGTTGCATCGACTTGTGCCTCCTTGTTAACCATGGCTGAGTAATTAGGACACCAATATGTCACTGTATGTGCATTACTGAGGGGACTTCCGGGTCTCGGAATGACGTTATATAGATCAAAGGCTGTGCGCCAATAAAATCAGTAATTAGTGGCCTTCACTGCCGTGCTCGTGAGTAGTATATTTTATGTGCGCCTTCTGCAGGCTTCGTAGTTCTGTAAAAACGGCAGGGTTGAAAAAAATATATATTCTGCCTGCATCTCGTAATGCGCCATCCACCCATCCATGAATAATGCTCGTAATTTTGTGTGCCATGCGACTGCATGGGCATATTGATTGCCTGTGGTAAAAAGATGCTGGTGGTCTGTGTGGTGCATTTGTTTTGGTTTTTAAGGCTTACTGTTAAAAGCTTGATATATCAGGCTTTAGCTCAGTTCTTACCCACATCTATTGCTGGTTTCGGGCCTTCCACACGTATATACTCTGTCGCTGAGAGCATGGATGTCTCTGAACTGTTTTAAAGGGGGGAGGGCATTGCTGACAGATGGTCGGTAAATTTCATGAGTGTCATAGTCGTCTTATTCTCAACCTGACACATGATCTCCCAACCTTCCTTTCGCTTCCTTGTTCATTCTTACAGACAGCACCACGATTGTAACAAAACTGACCAATGTGGGGGTTGCCCCCCCCACCACCTCAGGGGACACCCTCCCCCCACACCACCTCTGGGGACACCCTTGAAATGCACCGGTTGCTGAGTATTAACATTCTCAACCGTTCAGTTACCAGATCATGTCAAGATCCCATTGCCTGAGCATTAGTTTGATAGGGGACGTCTCAAACACAGTTGGACCCGCTTCGCTCCACCCTTGCAAAAGAAAGTGGGAGCTTTTGTCCCTAGCCAGTGCGCTTGAAACAACTCCATCTTTGTACACTTGTCGGCACAGGACCCATGCTAGACTGCCACACGGGGACTGTCACAAAATCCGTAGCATACTCCGAGTCAGCACTGGGCACACAGCACCATTCGCATTTGCTAGTTGACCAAGCCTCTCTACTTATCACCAGAGAGGGGGCTCTTGTCGCTCAGAATGTCACATCCAAACCAAAAAACTCCTGATCCAACCTTGATGATGATTGGATGTTATTCTGTGGAAATAATTTCATCCACATCATAAAAGAACGAAGGAAGGAGAAATGGCTGTTGTTGTTCAAAACATTTGGTTCCTGACCCTTTTTTTGGAAACAGTATCTGATGCAATGCTACTATGTTTCAACAATTACTTTTAAGGCCCCTTAATCAGTGATCACATTTCCTGTTGTTGTGTAATTACCCCTCCGAAGAACTGGCACCCTCCCTGCCAAAGTAATGGAACATTCCACGTGTCAGGGACTCTTCGCAGTTTACTCCATACATCTTGGTATTCATGTTTGCCATGCAAATTACATTGCATCTACCCCACAAAAGAGCATGCTTTAACCCAGTCGTTCTCCCGACAACTGAACACTAGCAGACTTTCAATAATGGTGAAATCAGCCTTCCCTTTTGTTTTAAGTGATACTTTGAAAAAAAACCCACTTTTTGAGTCGTACAGAATTTAAGCGGCAGTGAAATAGTTTTTGCCTGTGTGGAATAAATGTAATTTTTATGTTGCTTTTGCTTTGATGTTTGCTCATAAAATATGCGAAGCCACGTTGAAGACCATTAAATACCCTCATTTGAATATGGAGAGACTTGGCAAATATCCTGGTACAGGCTGCTTGCCTCTGTGCCTGCGCATATGTTTTCTTGCCTCAGTGAGCACCGATTGTAACGTACATGTTGCCTGAGACAGGCTTATGTGTAATTGATACTCTTGGCATATTTTCTGCCATCTGTAGTGAGAAATTTGTGAAAGAACAAAGAAAACTCATCAAGCTATTTCCACATTTTGCCGATTTTTGACCGGAGACCATTATGTGTGGCATTTTGGACCAGCACCAAAGTGTAAATATTAAATTGCCGCCACCCACTTTGTTTTTAATGTCAAAACGTGGTTTAAAGCCAATTTTACATTTCTCATGACTCGGCGTGCTCTTTCCAGATGTCTGCCAAAGTACCAGTTGCCATGTGGAGTAAAATTGCCAAAATCAATTCTGTTACTACCAAAAGTATTAGGGAGGGGATGTTAACATTCCGATGATTTTGATTTGAAACATGGATTTCCACAGGGATCTATACTTGGACCACATGTTTCCCAGGAAATATCCTCAACAGGTTGCTCCAATTATCAGGCCTTGGGGCATTCAATTTCACACATATGCCGATGACATTCAACCGTACGTGAATGTTCAACGCTATCGGCTATCGTTTTTCCTGGCTGACATTTCTGCGTCTCAAAGCAGTGTGCCCAAGCTGATTTGTTGCCTTTCCTTTAGACAATGAATTGGTGTCTCCAACCATTTCAGTCGGGGGATTTGGGAGTAACATTTGGACTCATCTACGGACATGTCGTCTCATGTTACATTCCTTTGTAAGTCAGTCATTTTCAGTTTTATGCAATGTCTCATAAATCTGTCACTTAATTGACGGGGACAGTTGTACCCGTGCCATAAGAGCCCTTGCTCCGTCTTAACTCAATAAGCCTTTTGTGAGTGAAATTTGAATAAAATCTGGTGAACTGTGTTATTTGATTGCTTATAAACATAACAATTTGAATTCCCCAGACTGAAGACACTGTTGCTGTACCTCATGGTTTGGGGCAAGCTTTTGCATTCGTACACGGGTTGGCCAGATTTTTTTGTCCAATTCAATTCACTTGATTCGATTTAAATCAACTTTTTGGATTCAGTAGGTGTATCTGATGCGAAGGATTTATCATCATGATGTAATTTGACTTCATTTGAATTGCCCATTTCAGAGTTTGACATGGTAAAGTATCAGTGTACAGCGTACATCCACCTTTTATGTACAGGAACACAGGTATTTTATTGAGATTAGAAACTACGGTCATTATGCAGTGTAACTACAACCGCTAAATACCCCTTAATGAATACCCCTAATAAAGTGAGTTTCATCACGCCTAAGTCATTGCTCTGTGGAGCTGGATCACTACAAAATGAGACTGCTTTTTGCACTTTGAGCAAGGTAAAGTACCAGCATTTTGTACCGACATATACAGTAGCATGTAAAGTAAATGCATGTTGTTCATGGCGTGTTTCTCACTCATTAGTCGCTTGATGCACGTAGTGCTCAAAATTATTCTAATCCTTTGGGAAATAACATACTTTTCTATATTCTTCATTTGTAAAAACTAATATGTTGGTACTTCCACTAGATCTTTTGTCTATTTGTTGCAATACGCAAGCCCACACGTGTGTTGGCTAAACTTCATTTGCATAATAATAGATACAGCCCGGGTTACATATTCTCTTCTAAATAGTCAAAAGAGTGGTCTTTGTTCTTATAAATAAATATAAATAATTTTTTTCCATTTTTTTAACAAAACAAATCAACAACCCTGATATATTGGACTGGTTCCTTTGTGCCCTTCTTATCCATTGAAAACAGTGTATTGGTGCAAGGCATCTCTTATGTTACTAAGCAAAAACTTTCCCCAAATCACGAGGTATAGCAACAGTGTCTCTAGTGTGGATAATTCAAATTGGTATGTTTACATGAATTACAAAAAGTCAGTATACCAGATTTTATTCCCATTTAACTTCCAAAAGAGTTATTATGTCGACTCTCTTTTGGCTGGCTGCAAACAGCTCAGACATCAAATCAGAAACCTGATAAATCTTTTACAATTGAGTGTAAAAGAGATTTCCCCAAGCAAGAATAGCATTTTATTGAGCAACAAGCAGATAGCTGTTTACTAGTTTCTTCACATATTTAACAGTAGTTTTTAAATGAACTTGACTCCGGTCTAGCTGGTTGTCGGAATTCAGCCACTAGCTGAGTCTGTGTTTAGCCGAATCCGTAGCTGAGTCACAATTCCAGAAAGAAATGGACATCGTCTTGACTCACAGCAGTAGGTGGTTGTGAGAAAAAGCCTGTTGATAGCTAAGATCATTTTATATTTGGACTGTTCTCAGCAACAGACAGTAAAAAAACAATGCCGCCTTCACATTTTGAGTTTCAAACGGAGAAGTTAGCATCATACAAGTGCCTTTGTACGTTATCTTGATGAAGAACTCTCTGTCTGTGAGCAGATATGCGTGGCCTCTCACCACGCTTTGGAGACCACTAAAAAAATTGATATGGGGTATCTTGCCACTTCTGTGGGTTCAGCACTCCATGATCCTGGCCTTGAAAAGATGCATGTACTGTGAACACGTTGAAAGGCATTGAAAGACTGCCCCCCGAACTCTAAAAGGCAATAACAGGAGGGATTTTAACAGTAAGCTCGTCTTTTGTAGAAACTTTTGTGATGGTTGCGCCAGGTCAGATATCTGTTCATGCACTGTAACTCCAAAACTGCAGAACATGATATTCGTGAATTGCACGCATGTGCGCGCCCATGACCATTTAATGCCATGCACATTGACGGAAGATGGTTTACTTTCGTCATCAAAACCACCCCAAATTGCAGGCGTGTGAGTGAATGCCCTATCATGTTAAAGTTCTAACCCGGGTCGTCAATTGTTTTCCCAGTCCCACTCACCAACGTTGGAGCTGTAAGTCAAGCCAAGCGTGTAGCTATTGGCGCGATGACAGAAGCCTGTGTGATATCCATCAAGTGGCTTTTGCATAGACAGCCAAGGCTAGGACAGAGCAGAGCTGACAAATATACTGGTATCATCAGAGTCACTTCGGCATATTCAAATCAATAAAATGAAACTCCATCACGAAACTGTTTAAGCTTTGTGTTGTTGACGCTACCACTGTTGTTTTAACATCAACAGCGGAGGAATGGGCAGCTTGCCTATTGTGTAGCATATTCCATATACATGCAGGCTTGTGTCTTTCTACCCAGGAGCTCAAACAAAGTAAACAACGGGTACCTTGGGATCCTCTGCCATTCTCCCCCACTTAGAATTATGAGAGATACTAAATACAAATAGCGTGGTATATTTATGTGGCATGATATGCCACGACCAGAACCTTGCAAGGTAATTAAAAAATTACCTGAACAGCTGGCTTTGTTTCGACCGAGAGAGAGCAGTTGGTGTCTAGATACTCTGCAGAGGTGGGTCAAGTTACACAAATGGCTGTTATTTTTCTGTGAATCGCATTTGTGTGTTCTCTTGAAGGGCTTTCACTAAAGAAAATAGAATATTATAATTCTAACTTCTTGTCGCTTCACAGATCGTAGAGGTCATCTGTGATAGAGGTTGAGGGTTCTGTACTCGGGGGCCCAGCTGTTGACTTCCCTCACCTGTGGTAGTCATCTGAGATACAGCTGCAGGTTACCAAGGGTTAGTGCGAGCAGAGCCGTACCTGAATTGGGCAGTGACTCAGACGTGTATGTTGACCGGCATCATTCCGTCTGTACCACAGACTGGGTCAGCAGAAGCTGGTTGCCTGCCAGAATGCCATTGGATGCATATTGCTTTGACTGGCTCCCAGCTGATTTTTATTGTGTCTCGCTCAGCTAAACAACATGGCAATATGTTTTTGGCACCACAGCTCCATGAATCTCTGCCCTCATCTGGAAATTTGCCAACTTCCAGTTACATCTACTCATTAAAAGAAAATATAAAAATGTATGCAGGCCTCGACCTTAACACTAGTCAAACGGCGTCGGACGAGTGGCGTGTATTCGTCAACTTGCCTGATGGGTAGTAAAGAAATACTTACTTGTTTGAAAATGTCCTTTGTCCTATTCATAAAGATGAATAAAGTAAATGTGAAATTGATTGTATGGCATTGCTTATTATTGAATTATAACAGTCTGAAGGATTCCACTATTAAGCTTTCAAATAGACAGCAAGGCTCCACCGTAACGGTCGAAACAAGCAAACTTGCCCAGCGGGCTAGTCAAATGTAGAGCTTAAGGTCGAGGTCTGTCGTTAGTCTTCTGCACAGTCCCTGTAATTTACAGCATTACAGCAAAGTGCTGCTTTCTAACAATCTCTACCATTATGTCTCTCCAAATAACTTCACTCACCTGGTCCCTTTTCATCTTGGATGGGACCTAGTAAATCATTCAAAAATCCTTCTCTGCAACTTCTTAGAAACCTCTTAGAAATAGTATTCTTTTTTACTGGAGAAGAGAAAAGATAACTGGAGATGTAACGCGTCACACCTTTAGGGGGTCCAAATGAGTAAAGTGGAAATGGAATTATGTATTGTTGAAAAAAAAAAGTGGCAACCAAACTCGTTTGAGTTAATTTTTTGCAAGTTGGTTTATCCAACATTTTCCGAGTATTTCTGTATTCCCTTTGGTATTATGTATGCAAAATTTATGATGCGTATCACCTACAAAAATGACATTATTTGTCTGGTTGCGAAAGTAATGAAATGAACATACTGGAAGTCTAGCAAGTCTGCTGAGAATGTAACCTATGTGAATTACCACAAAGCTGCAGTTGTCTTCATTTGATGTAAAGATTGGGTGTAAAGGAGCATATAATCATTGTTTGTGCAAAGCACTGTTATTAAAGTGGTGATTAAAACTAATTAAGACAGTTGTCATTGTGAGTGGCATTTTCGAGGGGTGCATTGGTTCGAGTTTTAAAGGTTTTTTGTGTGTGTGGGCTCTCACTGGCAAGGACTGCACCGTTTGGGACGAGCGACAATAAACGGCGTAGTCCCCGACCACACCCGATGGCAGTGTTGCTGTTTCAGCAATTCTACCGGTATCCCCAGATTTTTAAATACACGCAACTCCGTAGCACTGCCCAGTTGTGTTCATCCAGCTTGATTTGAAAATAAATCTTGGGGTTTTGTATGCGCGGTGGGCAATCACTGTGGATCGATGTTCCGAAAGAGTAAATTCATATAATGGTGTCCTGTCCCCACATAGGGCACTTACCTCTGGCGAAAGACTACAAAGCGGGAATGGATACATCCCAGTAAATTCACTCTAAATGCTCCGCTTTCTGCTGACAGGTGTCAACATTTTGCCTTTTGTTTATTTGGATATACAAATGCAGAGCATACGAGTGATTAGTATTAGGCGCCCAAAGGAATAAGTACATACACCAACCTCGAGGGGCTAATCAAAATTTTGAGTGTACTGATAGAACCCGATTTTGCAGAACTTTTGTGAATTTCCAAGAAAGAAATCGGGAAATTAGCGGGGAAAAAAGCAGAAAGAAATTTGGTAGTTTTACTTCACGTGTCTGCAGAAATATTTCTTCCGTCCGAATAATTTCTTTTAGCTGAGAGGAAGATGTAAAGTGCGATGGATGCGAGAAATGCGTCGCTATGGTTCGTGCCGACCGAGTGACCTCGCTGGGTTTTGGTGGTAAAAGAGGTTGGTCGATGACTGTTAGCAAGACCCCGTGTTAAGCACCAGCGTAGCAGTTGATGATTGTAAAAAAATAACAACTGCGGCACTAGTACTTAGAACAGAGCAAGCAAAAAACGTGGACGAAAGTCTTGCAGGATAGCTAGTAATGAAGTTCAGCCACACCACTGGCCTAGATCCACATCATTGCGTTGAAACACCAGGTCTGTTTTCCACAAATAGTTTCCGATTTTCCTCCTCGTTGGATGGCTAATAACTTGGATTTAGCTGTAATTATATTTCATTAACGGCAGAAAATTTCGGTCTTGATCACCACCTGTATCAAACAATATTTCTGGCTACATAAAACATGCTAAACTTTTTCTCCCTTTATTACTAATTGATGTGGAATCGCACGCAAGCGTCGTGGGAACTTAATACTTTTTGGCGACACGCGAGTTGCCGAGAAAATTTCATCCGTCGATGGTGACGTAACCCAGTAACAAACTCGTAGCGGTGCGTGCCCTGGAACGGCTATAATTATAACCATCTGTTGATCAAGTAGTGGATTTTTTTGTGCGTTGCCCCAGAAAACTGTAATGGATTTGGGATTATTCTAAATGGCGACTATATGGGGGTTTGGGGTTCATCGTCATGTCGAAGGTGTGGCCATACTGTGGGAGAGCGAGACATACTGAGTGGAATCCGTTTTTTTAGAGTAACAAACGGCGCCGACCCGACTGAAGGCGAATCACGCAAAACTAATATATGTAAAGAAACATAATTAATTAACGTGATACCACGCGCCATCCTACCCGACGCCGCCTCACAGTACAGGCACCAAGGCAGGGAAAGATCACTTATTGACAGTTATAACCGTGTAGTTCGTGGTAGCCACCACATTAAGGAGTAGTGTGCAGGTAAAGTTGATCACGAAATACCTGCGGCACTACTACTTAGAGCGGTGAAAACCATTGCGCGAAGATGACCAATGAAATTAATGCATATAGCGCTTCTGGCTCGACCTTTTTGACATCCGAAAACCTGTTGATTTGAATATTCCTTTTTATATCAGGAGTTTGTTTTGATACCTTTTTTATTTTTCTCTGTTCTTGGAAGGAAATCGCCAAGGCCCTTGAGTAGTGATATGCATAAAAAAGTACAAGTTTTTTGTTTCTGTTCCCTAATTGTCATTTAATCTGGGATTTTCTGACAGTGATCATCTTGTTCCGCCTCGTAATGTTTGATAGAACATCAATCCTGCAAAATCATGGCACCCCAAACTCACATCCTGATAAAGTTCAAGCCATGTATCGCTCCTTATTCTCGGGTAAAAGAAAAGGAAATCGTTCATCTCTACTCTCTACCCCCGAATTTTAACTCATCCACTCCTGTATACCCGCATAATTATCATATAAATTAAAGCGTTAAAATGCATAATTTGGCGTTACAAAAGAGCAAGACCTGCTTTATACCTAGTCTATATGCTACCGTGTAAACAGGTTCGAGGGTTGTTGTGGAATAAGGAAGAAGGATTTCAACTGTTTATTGCATTGTTGCTGAAAGGCTTTGAAAAAAAAAGCAACTCTCGTTTTGGGCGAGAAATAGTGAACAAAAATGTTTCGAAACCGACATCTGGTTTCGGGGCGCTTAGACTAAGGACGGAAACATAAATAACATTGAAGGGAATTCCTATGACATAATTCATACAAATGCCTCTTTGCCATGCCCTGTGTAATTACAGCAAACACAATAAGTAATCGCAGATAATGATTAGGTATTGGGTTTCTCTGAAAATGTGCCCTATCACTGTTTCTCTCTGATTCTTCCATTGCGGAAGAATTTCTTCCAAAAAGGAATCACTCTTCATCATTTTTCTGAAACAGTAGCGTGCACTCACAAGTTTGAACAGCCTGGTGCGCGTGGCAATGCAATCGTAGATGTTATAAAATGATGGATTTCAGGGAAAAGGTGGACTGGTTGTTCAACATTTTGTTAATCGCCAAGTCCACGAGTCAAATACCTGGTTTTGTTCCGTAACAATACATTAACTGTTGATTAAAAAGGAGAGATTTTCTTACCGTTTGGAGTCCAGTTTCCGCTCACTTTAACTCGAGTTTTGTCTCCAATACAACGTGTTGTTTTTGTGCAACCCAAACGCTCAACATTGCCAACGATGAAATAATACGCGTTGACATTTCCCTCTGTTCGAGTTTGGAGAGTGCATACAGATAAGCCGAAAACGACAAAACCCGATGAAGTCTTTTTTGTCTGGCCAAAGCAACTCCTGCTGGTAGGTTTTGAGCCTGTTGCCTGGACGGAGTGCCGTGTTGTACTGATCATTCACTCGTGCAGTTTCGATGTCATTGGATAAGCTTTCTAAGCTTTCTTGTGCACGCTTCGTTGACTCGTTAAACATATACGATCGGTTCCCCCTACACTTTATACATGAGTGCCAACCATAAGGTCGCCGTGTATCGTTCCTGTTTTGATGTCAGTTGCATGATTTTACATACATGTAGACCTGATACATAATGATGTGGCTGTGTTATAAGTCAGTTGTCTCCTCTGCCAACAACAGAGCCAGTCGCCTGACATTTTGTAAAACTGGAATGCTTACTTGTCTTTTATCGGTACATGTCCTCTATATTCTTTACCCCAATCTATTGCATATTGTTATCCATTTAATTGTTTATTTTTTTTTCAAACAGAAAACGGGAGTTTTTTATATATATATTTCCATATACTTAAATATATGTATAGGCCTTTACACTGAATATGAACTTGATTTTTATTCTGCAAAAATATGAAAAATTACAGTGTTCCAGCGTTTCGGCATGAAGATAAACAAAAGATGAAGAAAATCATATTTAACAGAAACATCAAAATAATGGTAGTTTATATGGTTACTTTAAGTTAGTGTCTCAATATTCTCCTTGTCGACCAGTGCAAGTTGCCCATAACAATTTTTTTAACCAATTCTATTTAAAGAAATGTTTTTAATATCAGGGGTGTTTAGCTAGGACTGCTCGAACGTGTGCCATGGTCACGTGTCCTCATTTTCTGATCATTCGAGGCATTGTTCTCAATTTGAACCGCCATATCCATTGAGCTTCTGTCGTGATCATTTATGCTGGTATCGTATAAAAGTATACAAAAAAGAGCCCTTTGTACATGCGTGTGTGCGCGGGAAAGAGACAGGCGTAGGTCACAATGTTGACATTACAGAATGGTCCTGTACCTTTGTGACGTTTGACCTTTATTTAGTCGTGCATCTGTAATTGCCCGGGTCATCCACGTTCTTGTGAATCACTTTCAGGGAGATTTTCCAACATCGAACTTCTCCCTCTCAGGCGTTTTCTCTAAAGTCAATGCCTGCCGTTAGACTGACCGTGAGCACAATAACTGTGAACAGAGATATTTCATTTTCAATTTCGATTTGCGCCTCCTGCATGGAGTTGGACGTTTTGGTGACGCGGCAGTAATTTGAATTAATGTTGAAGTAACAATGTCAGACCCGGGAGTTGGAGATCAGGTGAAGCCAAAGGCAGAGACGAAGCCGAATGTTGGAAGAGCCGCTATGCTCTGTTGTTTTGTACTTTAAAAAAAGGCCTAACATCATTTTGTCATGCGCTCCAGATCAGACACAGTGCCGCACGCGTCTTTAATGATCATTCGTGCCAATTTCACGCCTGAGCTAAATTGGGGCACATATGTCCGGATGTGCGTCGACGAAAGTTAGCACAGATATGGCTTTGTGTGAGCGCGATATTCTAACACTCTGCCCCCGATATTCCACACCAGAAATTGATATGGGATCATGTCGTTCCTATTTTGCTTTAACGAAGCGCGGGAAAGCTTTCTTCCCCTACGTGAATTTAATCAGAGGGAACTTACATTTTACACTGTTGACAATATCCTTCGCTTGCGCTGCCGTTTATTTGCTTTTTTGGCACCAGGGTTCCACAAAATGAACATCATTACAACTCTATCGTGCTAAACAAAACGATGCGACAGACTTGCCTGTGGATGCAACTTCAGCTGACTGATGCAAACTCCGCCAGTTTTAAATGACAAATTATACATTCAAGTCGGTTTTTGTCCCCGTCTTCAAATAGCTTCATTTGACCCGAGTATTGAAGCAATGTTTTCGCTGGGTAATGCGGACGACGGGGCGAGTAATTCTGTTTCTACGATTACCCGCATATTTTGCGGCATGAATATTAATAGAAATACACAGATGCGAATCAGGCGTGAGCTTTGACGTCCGTAGCCTCCGTTCCATTGAAATGTCGCCCTCTCTTGGTGGTAATCGTTTTAAGAAAATGTAAGAAGGCGGAGTTGGTGATGATGATGTGAGCTGCGCGGATCAAGCCCATTGCTGTAAACGTTACAAAGGGCATCTTTTGGAAACGACATGCCCATTGTAACGGTCACATAAACGGGAGTGACATTCGGTGCAGAAATAAGATGCAGTTATACGCATTCGATATCATTTGGGGCCCACGTCATGCATGAAGAAGATGGAAGGCGTCGGTGAGCTTAACATCATCTCTAAGTCGACTCATTTCGTAAGGATCTCAGATTGTTCACAGCTTTCATTGTTGCCAATCCCCAAGCTCGCCATCTTATTATAATTATTTTTTTAATGCATCTCCAGGTAAAAACGTTTCCAGGCAAAAATCAACAGTAATCTCAACTTAATATCTCGCATATTATCTCTTATTTTGCTAGTGTGATCTTTTTTGTCTATTGGAGTTAAATTCATCCCATTTTGAGTACAAATGGCTTACCTAGGCTCCATGTCGATTCACCATTGCCTCTCGTATTGCATCAAACCCCAGATTTGCTCCAAGAGGTCTAGATGGTCGATCCTCCGTCCGTATGCCGGTACTCTGGCCGACGGACCAAGTCCAGCCCCTGTTGTCCATCACCGCTCTTGGCCAACTGACTTTCCTAGACTCTCGGTCGTCCTTTTAACCTTTTTTCTCCTTGGTACCCGCATATAACGTCTTGTAACATCACCACTGCGAGAGTTTCGATTTGGGCTGCATCAGTTTTTTGTAAATGCGGGTCGGGTGTTGCTTTTCACAGTTTGGTCTGTTTAATGCCTTCACGTGCAGTCCAAGACTCATCTCGCTGAGAAATTATTCAGCGTGAAATGCTAAAAATGCTGGTATGAAATGCAGACGCTGTGATTTAAATTTTTTTATAGACAGTGAACGCCATGATGAAAAGAACATACAATGCATCTCAAAGTTATTAAAGGCTAACTTGGTGCATTTCAAAATCTCGAACACACAAGATTTTTATTGTTTTCGTCCAAAAAATCGCTACATTAATGTTCAAAGAAACCAGTACCATACTTATAATATTCTTTCTGCATGAATTCCATTTTTACTAGTAAATTTCAAACCGTCACAAAACTGTACTCCAAGTTTTCAGGTTTTTTAAAACAATGCTGCTCTTTTTTGTCTTTATAATGAAATCATATGTCTTCAAGAGAGAGATCACAACTTAAATAATAATAATAATAATATGTATAATACTGGAAATGTAACGAGTCACAAAAGAAATTACAATCAGGTTGTCAGGATGTCAGACAAGGGCTTCACAGCACACCAACCAAACAAGAGAAAAGTTCAAACTCGAGTTGCTCTTTATCCAGATGCCTTGAATGTGAGATCGCCCTCTGGTTTTCATCACAGAGCTCTGTGCTAGTCTGGAAAATTATAAGGATTAGCATAAACTTGCCAGCGATCCGCCGTTTAAAGCTTTTGTTTGCGGTATACTGCCCATGTGTGCTGGTACCCACAACATGTGTACAATTCATCGCCGATGGTTCCAGTCATACACACCAATGATAAGAAACCTTGCCTGCAATTTCATTGAGACCCACTGTACCTGTGTTACCCACATCTTGAAAAAATCGGTTAACATAATGTTTGGCTTTGTTTAGGGCTATGCATCTCTAATCAGGCAAAACGCCGGCGAAGTTTCACCACGTTGCAAATCCTAACTGTGAGTGGATAGATACGTACTCAACCTGTATGCATGGACTGTACGTTCACAACGTTATTCGGTTTTTCAGAGTGCTTGAACACAAACACTCCACCCTACAAGAATTTGAAACATTACATTTTGTTTGGCCGAAAATGAGCAAATAAAATTGTTTTTAAGGAGAAATCCGCTGACACTCTTTCTGTGAAATAACATTTTTGTGGATAAAACAATGTCCAATGATGTCCTGACGTTGTGAATTCAAGAATGACCCCTTATGCTTTTGCAAGCCTAAGGGTTGAATATTGGATGAACTGAAACAGTTGAGAAAAATTACGATCAAGCACTATCCTTTCAGGAAAATAAAATAAAGACGAATGTAACTATGGAGACTCGATAGCTACAAAAAACCCCTCACTTTTATAGGCTCCTTTTCTTTGTCTACGTCATAAGACTCCCTCTGCTTTTTGTATCCAGTTCGTAAGAGTGACGTGACTTCAGTTTAAACCACATCCACTGCACATGCACAGCACACAGAGTTACATTACATGAAACCATGGAACCGGAAGTTAACGCGCAACTTCAGCGACTGTCCAATGGGAGCTCGTAAATCGTGGCGCGTCCGCCTTTGTGACGAATTCACTTACGAACTGGATGAGGTTGCGGTGCCAACCACGCGCAAAGCGCTCGTGGCACCACGGTAACCGCGTGGACAAACTTCATGCGCGCGCACGGCACACGCGAAAAGCAGTACTGGAGCAGACAAACTGAGCGTGGCCGGCTGCAGCATAGCACAGCGGCTGTGGAGACATTGAGGGCTCAGATCAGGAGTTGGCAGAAGACGGCAGTCAATTCGTCTCCGCTCGGCGAACCTTGAGGACATCGGGGGAAACAACAATGACTTTGAGGCAAAGTAAGAACACACTCTCCTCTTTACAAAGAGTTTATTATTCGAAACGACATTGTTTTTTTCTCAGAGCTACAGTACTGACGCTTCCACAAACTTGACGACTTCAAGCATTTTTTTTCCGTTTAGCGCAACTGTCCTTTGCACCTTAGGCCTACTTCATAAAAACAATAACAACAGTACCCCATGTTAATAGGGCCTATTGGCTCACTGTGTTTCCCGCATTGTACTTTTAATCCCACAAGTGTAGAAACAATAATGTGGAGCGTATGCCTTATCCCCCACACTCAGATATCGCAAATGCTGTCCGGCAGTCCAGCCTGGCCAAATCCAGCCGGATGGGAGAGCTCTTGAACCGGTTTGAACGCGGCTTGCCCTGCGGCACCCCGGAGGACATTGATTTCCTCATCGATGAAATTGTGCAGCGTATTGAAGAGTAATTTTCTCACAGTTTTATATTTATCTTTATCCTTTTGGTTCTCTGTTGGTTGTTAAAGGAACCATGTCATAGGATTTTTATGACTTGAGTATTATGTACATGTATAACGCAGCTTTACTTACAATATTCTGATACCATGACTTTCCACCTGTAGACACGTTAATTTGTAGCAGTAAATGGAGAAATTTCAACATTTCGGTTTTTATGCCAATGAAAACTTCCGTATTGTTCAGCCAAAGCGTGATGTCATTCAAGACTGAACAGGAATGTCTCCATGGCTTTGTGTACAAATATTATATCGTACTTTTCCTGGGGAAGTTTCCACTTCATACGTGGTTATTACATTAAACAGTCTGTTTGGAAAACAGTAGTAGCCAATATTTCTTCACGACCGTTTGTAGGTGATTTTGAAGGAGTGAGTTTTGACATCTTATGCTCTGTTGTTAAGGACTGTCTTGTGCGACGGTATCAAAGTAGGGCCTTATACATAAGTTGATAAAAGTCTTTTCTGTGAATTTTACCCCCCACCTTAATTTTGCCAACAATAAAAACAAATATTTAGATCTTGTTTGTATTGTAACACAAATTAATATGCTTGGAAACAAGTTGAGCCTAAATATCCACTGCATGTTTCCTTTGAGAGCTCAGAGAGGTTGACGGATAACAGAAATTGAGAATAGGTTCCGACCACAAAGGTGTCACTCTCTCTCTCGTAATGCTGGGATAATACTGTGTACCCTTGCCTGAAAGGGTATTTGCGCTGACAACGTTGGCAATGCATATGCAGACAGTGAAAGTCGAGAGAAGGAAAAAAAGCCGAACTAATGGAATATTGATCTGTTTATTACCGTTTTTCAGGCGGTTGCTGCGTAGGATGGCTGAACGTCCCGATCTTGCAATTTACCAAGCCAGTGACAGAGACGAGAGAGGTGCAAGAGCCGGTCAACTCCCAGCGTGTCCACGTCGCACTGTAACCGAGACTGCCTTGCGACACCAAGCCCGCCTGCTTGTCGAGCAAGTCTTGAAGATTGTCTTGCGACGCCTCCTGAGGCAGACGAAAGTGAAATCAGACGGAAGACGATCCAAAGAGCTCGGAAGGGCAGTTGAGACTTCCAACGAGTACCGACCGTCGACGAGTAAGGATGAAGATGTCAAAGTGAGCCCACAAATTGTCAAGAGGTATTACCATGTGATGTCGAGCCAGCCAGCTGGGTCAAGCCGCCGACCCTTGCAGACGCAGCAAACGGCAGTGGGTGGTACGAGCGCACTCAAACAAGAGCCTCAAGCGCACCACCGACTTGTCTTCAGGGACGGCGAATCGGCGCGCACAGCCGCAACCTACGCACTGAGAAAAGCGGCCAAGACCTCCTTGCGACGATACAGTGTGGCTGGCAACGTCAAGGCGCTTATGTGTGCTGTGGAGTGGGGAGGGTGTGACGATGATGTGCAGATTATTGCTGAACCACCAAGTAAGAGCGTCACTTCTCCCATATATCAAGATGTCAAAATACTTCTCAAGTCAAGTGCTGATCCTTGTGACGACCGAGAGCCTGGCCAGAGCCCTCGTGAGGATGTCCCGGTGGAATACCCTCTCACTGCACTGTCCATTCCATCCAAACGACAGCCAAGGCCACAGGCTGGAGGAGTGGACCAGCTTCTGAACTCCAGCTACACCTACGCCCGGCGTGCTGAGATCAAGAGAGCCCTGCCTAAATTTCTGGTGTCCAGTTCCCGTGATGCCATGATGACCATGTTCAACGCGATCCGAGCTGCGATGGCCGAGGAGGAAATCGAGAACCCAGATTATGCCAACATTCTGGTCACTCTGATGGACCGATCACGAGACGAGAAGGATTTCCCCCAGCAAGCCAAAACCTCCAAGCAAAAGGAAATGACCCCCCTATCGCCCGCTCCACAGAGCTCCTTGCAGAGTAAGGCAGAGCAAAAGCCGCTTGAAGCTCGTCCCACTGATTCCAGCGGTAAGCAGGTGCCTAGCAAACCCATTGCCACACCCAGGGATCGCTTGAACGCCCGTCAGCAGAACTTCGGCACTCTGGGAACTTACTCGCTGCGTAAAGCTACACGGTCGTGCCTTCGTCACATGCTACAGAAAGGCAGCTCTTACAACGCTCTCCTCATGATGGCGTGCAACGTCAGGCACGGACAAACCGACGAAGAATTCTGGGAGGAAGCCTTGGACGTGGATTTAGACGAGACGACAAGGAAGGAAGTTATCTCGGATCTTGCAGATTTTAGCCGCCAGGTCCGTGCTGGTACCACTCAAAGGATCTACGCTACTGATGCGGGGCAAGCATTTGTCAATATTGTAGAAGAGGAGAGCCTAGAAAGTGAAACAGGTGACTTTGAAAAACTAACTCACAGGGACGCATTTGGAAGCCGATGCCTGGATGAAGACACCGATAAGTACAGAAGTGGTGTCCACCCTCAGTCAAACACCAACTACACGTACGGCATACATCAGAGCTTGAGACGCCTGCTGCCCAAGTTCACCGGTAGACGACCCTATGCTGCCTTGATGCACTACGCCAACAATATGATTACTGATGTGCACGAGGAGATGATTCGCAACGGACAGTTAGTGCCAATGATCAACTTTGCAGACGCGATTAGACCCGAGCTAAGACAGGCTAGAGAGAAGGTAACCCGTGGGGAAGAGCGCTACTCCGAAGCGATGCCTTCTGACGGTGATCGCCGGTCAGTTGCTACTCAGACCAGCAAAGTGGTGATCAAAACAAAAAATGAGACAATGTTCGACGATGCCTACTCTTGGATCGCCCAGGAAACCAGCAACAAATACGACACCAACCGGGAGAAACAGAAGTACCAGCCAACGAATCAGAGTGATTCAGACATGCTCTTCCGGTCAGTAGAAGAGAAGGACAGGCTTGAGGAAGAACTATCCCCGTCTGCCGTCCAGCGAGACGACATCCTCAAGACGGTAGAAGAACTGCCCGACGAAGGAGCCGAAGAAGACCCATGGCTCAGTGTGGAGGAACAGGATGATGCCGATACCACCAAGCGTAGCGTGCGGTTTGCCGACGGTATCAACCCGGGCGAGGCAGGAACTGACGACGAGGAACACACCACCACGTTCTTCCAAAAACTAGGCTACTACGAGAGGGTTGGGAGCGGCGAGTTGCTGCACAAGAAGCCAAAGAAACCCAAGCAGAAGGTCCAAAGTACCGACGAGGCGGACATTCCACAAGCGACCCTGGAACCAGAAGAGGACGATGAGCAACGACACGGGGAACCTTCCCAGGAAAAGGCAGCAGAGCATCCTCAATTGGAAGAACCACAACCAACCGCCGAGGAAGGTGCCAAGCCAGCACCCCTTTGTAACTGTCTCTAACTCAACACAAACTCAACCATCTGTACACTGGCAAAACAAATACACCCCACTGAGTTTTCGAATTAAAAACCAACAGTTTGACTCCGACTGCCTCTGGCTTAAATCAGGAATGAACATTCAGTATGAACACTCATCAATTACTCAAAGATTTCCTTATAGGACCTGATAACAATTATCGTCAATACGAATCTTCATTAAATAAAAATACAAGTTGCAATTTGTCAGTCAAACAACCAACAAACCAAGCCACCCACATTGACTAAAAATGATGAATCCTTACCTTTTTATTGTTTGATGTTTGCAGGCTTTGTGTAGCAGACTTTATTTAACCTTACTGTGCATTTCATCTGCATTACATATTAAATATGATTACACTTGTAATCTTCGTTGGATAAAAAGATAACAAAATGCAATAGTAAACGAAAAAATTAAAATTGTTACTTCCATCGAATCAATCTGTATCAGTGTTAATCACTGGTAGACTATGCTGTACATCGCATCATCCACGCAATGAGATTAAAGCAAAGAAGAAACGTGTCCAAATCATCTTGAATTTTCATTCTATCGTCCCATGCTTTGCATAGCCCCCAACGGCCTTTCATTTAGCTTGCTTTGCACTTTATAATTTGGTCTGTTCTCAGTACCTCCATCTTCGTTTGAAAATCCGAAGTTTTCTATGAGCAAAATACATTAGGAGCGGCAAAATTTTAAAGGCGCTGGCGTCACATCAAGTCTTCAGTGAAGAAGGAGTCTTTTTGATATACCTGCTGTGCTTTTTTGGATGTGTGAGCCATTATATGTTGTTTTAAAGTAAAAACTTTGGCTTTTTTGTACGCGGACTTTCGGGGGGTAATGTCATGCTTTTACTTTGTGGCAAGAAGAGAAATAAATAAGGCGCACCGAGTATTTGCTATGGAACATGGTTTATTGGACTTAACATGGAATACCGAAAAATGATAAAAACAAGTCGCCCGATGTGGGGTGAAAAATTATAAAAACAAATCACCCGATGTGGGATGAAAAATTATAAAAACAAAGCGCCCGATATGGGGTGAAAAATTATAAAAATAATGCGCCCGATGTGGGGCTCGAACCCACGACCCTGGGATTAAGAGTCCCATGCTCTACCGACTGAGCTAACCGGGCATTCTTAAGTGATGAGGTGTATTGGTGCTTAATAAATAGAAAATATTTGCATTGCGCTGCGCGAGCGCGCACAAGCGGAGACGGGCGCCCTCTGTGCATGCAACATGCAACGCATGCAGGTAGTAGGTACGATAGGCGAATAATAAGTGACCACCGCGGTACCGGACTGCTGCATCTCGATATCACGTCTGTTTACCGCGCCGGTAAGTCGAGCCAAATAGGCCTTGCAATCCCACTTCACTCATTGGGATGGTATGTAAAAAAACAGGTCCCAATCAATCTGTGTCAGTATTGAAAAAATCTTCTCTTATTACTGACGGTCGACAGTGCACAGTCATGACAGTCGAAAGTTAGCGTGTCTGCCACGTAGCCCAGATTCCGGACATGCCGGACTCCCAAAATCAAGTCCAGCAATGCAGCACGTACGTCCCTGCCCTGTGTCCAGGGCCTAAGCCGACCGCCAGAGCTGTCATAGTTGTGGGGTCCGCCCCGTGGGAGCGGTGCGGGCGTCGGACCCCACAGTTCTGGGGGTAGCCTAGTCCAGGCATAAGTTCTAACTTTTGGCTTCAAATACTTTTATACAATAATAATAATTAGTAAAGGCCTGTTTTTATTTATAATGTATTATTAAGGCCTGTGCACAACTTGACGCGGAGTGGAAGGTCATTGGCCACAGTGATTGTTATCGCTTTTGCCTCTCCTATGCTTATCTTGTATGCTGGTATGTGATGAAAAAGAATTGGCAGGAATAAATAATACCTAGGCCTACTACTAATAATAATTACTCCCTTCATGTCATACATCAGGCCTAGTTTGCAGTGATGCAGCCCCAGCATGTCAGGGTAGGGACTTGATGCTTGGGGAGGAGTTCCATACGGACACCAGTCTTGCCAGTATAATCATTCCCCACAAGTTACTACAGTAATAAATTAGCCATCAGAAAGCCAAAACATTATAGACTAGTAATGGTTTCTTCATCATATATTTGTTCACGTTGTGGAGGAGCACAAGAAATGGTGAATTAACAACAGAAATAGGCCAAAACAGCTACAGACATAACAACGACCTGACGACTGGTCTATTTATATATTTACTTTCATTAGGCCTAATTCAATTTCAAGTGTGATTTTCTGGCCAGCTCATTAGCATTAAGAGTGCCCCAGTGTATCTTTTGAAAAGGGAGATTTTATGGCCCCCAAAATGGTGAGATTGTGTCAATCTTTGCTAGAATCAACTCCCTGGGTCTGTGGGCTTTCATCTGAGAGCAGAATGGCTAAAAACTACTGTCGACAAATGGTCCTATAGTACACTGTATATGCAGACATGTATGTAAGTGCCTGAGAAAGTTGAGGGTTGTCACTTGAAAAATGGCTGCAAGCAGACTTCGGAAAAAACACTTCAGGGGGAAGTTTGGGAATAACTCAAAATGTCATCAGTTAACCCACAGGAAATTGAAAGAAAGCGAAAGATTGGGGACCATACAATAATTTAACGTGTGTTTCAGATACCACAGGGATGTTGGTGTGCATGTTGTTGGGTCCTGAACAGTGCTGATTTTACACTGTTTTCAATGGGGCTTGAATTAGTGGACTACACCCATAGGCTAGGCGCTCAACCCTTGGAAGCAATCTTGCTAACCCCTGGGCATGGCTTTACCCACAATGCACATTAGGCCTACAACACAGTTGAACGACGAACCCCACAGTTCTGGGGGTAGGACATGTAGGTGGTTTAGTGTTAATGTTACATTAGATGGACATCACTTGACAGCCTGTGCACAAACCCTGTCTCACAGGATTGTGTAGCCTTTGTAGGGCCAAAGACTGGTCTGAAAAACGTTTATTCTGAAGTATTTTAGAAGTGAAATCTTCCACATTTTCCTCGTTAAATTTGACATTTCAGGATTTATCAGTATCTAATGGCTCATGAACCACTGCAGGGGAATAGGCCTACCACCAGAACCATGGGGTTGGGTGTCTGCCGCTGCTCCCGCGACAGACGTCCAACCACAGTTCTAGGGGTAGTTACTGCGATGATGTAGGTGTATGGAACTTTTCAATTTGAAGAGTCATATATGTGAGGATGTTATTTTGTAAGGCCCATCAAAAAGTGAGGAATTCTTTAAGAATTTCACGGTTGAAGGCATACCTTTACATTCGCATATCATATACATTTGCTGTGTACTGTACTGCAAGTAGCAGAGTGCTGAGTCAAACTTTCAAAGATGGCGGCGACTTCGAGCGGAGTTGATGCAGAGATGCTGAATAAGATGGGAAATCACCTCAAGTCACAGGGCATCTTTGACCAGTTCCGGAGAGACTGCCTTGAAGATGTCGACACCAAGGTCAGTGAAGGTGGAGCAGCTCTCAGCGGAACTTCCAACTTTAACTGTGCACTCTCTCTAACTGGCAGAAATGGCTGTTGGATGAGGGCACCGAAGTGACCAGGCCTCGGTCTTGCATACATGTAGTTTTCAAACTGTGTCATAGTCAAGTCAATTGCAGTGCCCTGTAAGTCCTTGCAAGTCCATCACCAGACCATCCGGCCTTAAGCCAAGTCTGTAGTTTTCGAGACAGTGACAAAAGCATTCCTTTTCCGTCGCTTTCCCTTTAACTGTTGACTGTTCTTGTGAAGGGACTGTGGACTGGACTTGTGAAGGGACTCGTAAAAAGATTAGACTTCAGCACCTCGGAATTGTTTTGATGTTGCCTGCTCTCTCATGGAATTCAAAAGCATCAGTGCCTGCAACAGCATATAGTTTAAGTTTGGATGCCGTCAATTTTGCAAGTTGTACTGGATTGTTTTTACTTCACAGCCTGCCTACCAGAATCTCCGGCAGAAGGTGGAGGGTTACGTATCAGCATTTCTGGCCAAGGTCAATTGGGAACCCAAACTGAACAAGAACCAGTTACGCGACAGCCTTCGTAGACAGATTAACCAGTGAGTTAGACAGTATTTCCTTTAACTTTGAGAGATATTTTTATGATGTAAAAAGATGGATGGGCTTGGAGCAGAGGTATCTCAGGTGTAGTTATTGTCAATTTACAGAAAACTCTCAAAATCGCATCAAAAGTTTCAGGTCAACATTTA